TTTTGCGATGTCTGTGTCTCTTGTCTCATGGTTTGTTTTGAGTTTGTCATGGTACCTATTTCTACCGTGACCGGTCGTTTGACCGATTGGGTAATCTGGTGTAGTTCTCATTTTAAAAGAAATTTGGATATTCCCATTCCATTTGTTTGTATTAATTGTATCTCGTCATCATATAAACTATATTTGTCGCGTGAACACATCTCATCGGTTTGTTATACACCGTCGCAGGTAACATTGCGCAACGAATTCGATCGGAAATAATGAAAATATTGAAATTAACGTAAAGAAATAATTGTTTTAATTATTGCCTCAAAATCATTTCGTTCATCGTTACTCGTACTAAATTGGCCCATGCATATAATTGGTAAAAATAGAACTTTTATTTAAAAACCGTTCACTCGACCAAGTCCGACAGGAATAGGTATCTAGATATTGTTGATAGATTTAGCGTTAATATGATAAAGAGATACCAAGGAATTCTTGAAAAAGTAACGAAACCTCGGGTTTTCATAACGACATATTTAAACGGTATGCCGACTAACTCCGTGAAATAAAGTCATCACAAAGTCGGCGACCGGATGACTGATGTTAATTCCAAAACATCTCAATAGAAGCAAGAGGCAAGAACATGTCAATTTAATCATTCACTTAGCTTTCTCGACTCAACCGGAAGACGCAGGATCAGGATCCTAGAAGACTGCTAAGCTGATAACTGACGACAGGATTCCTCGAGGTCTTGCTCCTTCGGGTATCACTCGAAAACTGATAAATCGATGACCGATTGACTCCTTCGAGCCGAAGGCCTTACCCCCTCCCACCGATCGCCGATCCAATCAAAATCGTCAATTCTTCGGCAGTCGCCTCACACAATTTATACTTTATTTATTTCTAGAATAAATAAACCGTGCAAACTTACGCCTCGGCTCAAATATAAACACAACCAACTCTGTTGTAATCATTCTAAACAGCTCTCGAGGAATTATAATCGAATGATGGCAAGAGGTAGTACCTTCATTTCATATTACAAACTTAATGATTACTGTCGATAAGACTGCATCGACTTGGAAGATATTTCGACAGATTGCGGTGAAGAACGTCATCATATCATGTTTTTCTTATCATCGGTGTATAATTTCACTTTTTTTATCACGAAGAAATGGATGTGTCCGAATAAAGCAATACTCTTGTTTATCATTCGTAAACGGTATCGGACTTTATCAGGAGACTCGGTAGAGTTTCGCGCCAAATGTACTTCGTACAATCGCGTTATTAAACATTTAACTGAATTTACAATAACCCCTTCGCATTCTAACACCGAATTTGACTTCAGCATGGTGTAAGCGCTGTACATTCTTTTTTTTTATTTTTTTACGAAATGTCGTTCGGTACGGAAACTTCAATCGGTCTTCAATCGGCAATTGATTTATTATTCGCAAGATATATACCCAGATTACGATGAAGAATATTTATATCAAATTTGAGTGTTCTCACCTATACCTATACCTTCACGTATACGTCGCGAAAAAATGAATCCGTCCCAATAAAGCGGCATTCTCGTCCACCAATTTTTCCTTAATGCGTCATGTTTCATATAAAAAAAAAAAAAAAAACAATAATCTTCTGTACCCTGACACCAATATCACAATTTACATCAAATTTGAGTATTCTTAAACCTATACCTTCACGTATAGGTCGCGAAAAAATGAATCCGTCCCAATAAAGCGACATTCTCGTCCACCAAGCAAAAACAATACCTTCTACACTTTGACGGCAAGAATTTTCCCTTCCATAGTTAGCGAGTGGAATATTCTCTTTTTTCAAGATTTTAGGGTTTTTTTTTATTTGGGGTTAAAATCGTGCGAGTGAGGGTGCGAGTAAAGGGAGCACCTCATAGGGTGGAGGGGTGCATCCGAGGATCGTCGTAAACTGCAACTTCCCCGGGGGAGATATCGAGAAAAGGAGGGAAGCCGTGGAGGAATTTAGGTGCGCCCGGGGGGGGTCACCCCCTGGCTATTTCCGGGAGGGGTGAGGGGGCTCCTGGGAGTTCCGACTTCGAGTCTCGCTAGGGGCGGGTGCTTCGAGGCCTTCTCTAGGTGTAGAGACGCTTCGCAGAAACAGGGGTCGTAAACTCGCTTCGAGGGCTCCTAACGCTCCCTCCCCCCTCTCGTGCAATTACAACTTCCGGTCAGAAGTCCGCGAAACGGCGTTTACGGCCGCGGGTCCCGCGGGGGTGCGTTTCCGGCGACCCCCTGGAGACTCGCCCCCAGAACGCAGTCCTCCTCACCTGTCTCGAAATTCGGAGGAATCGGAAGCGACGATCCTCTCGGGGGGGAGGGCGCAAGTTAGGAGGGTAAAACTCGTGAAGTGGAAATTCGGCGGGTCTCGGGGCGGGGATGGAACTCCGGGGGGGATTCTACCCCCAGGGGGTGGGGAACCCGAATCGTCTCAGGGTGGCATCCTCACAGCCGGTTCGTCGCGTGTATTTCGGAATTCCGGTCCCTGGGGGCGCACGTCGGGGCACACTTGTTGATTGGTACAGGAGAGGGCTAACCACCCCCCGGCCGGAAGTCGAGCACCCTCGGCCGAAACTAACGAACCTGGGGCGCCTCGGAATTCAGATCGGCCCCTAACCCCATTGGAAGGTGTCGCCCCGAAACTGGGACTCGGTTAAGGGTGGCGGAGAGAAAGGGGGTGCTATCGATTATCGGGGGGCCGAGATCTCGGCGCGGAGGACCCTGGGGGTGGAAACCTCCTCCGGAGGGCGACGAGTGGGCCACTTGGGAAAATGGCGCGACTAAACGCGACGGAACAAAGGAACGTCCGCCGAGGGGTGGTCGGGGGTGGGCAGGGGGGGGGGGCTGAAAACCGAGACGAAACGCCGAGAGTCGGTAACGATCGCCCTCGAGCCCGACGTCATTCCGGAAGCTCGCGGCCAATAAAACGGAAAAGGAGCTTTCCACCTACGCGCCGTGGAAAGCCACCCCCTGTCTTTCACTTCCCGCCGACCGCCCCCTCTCGCCCCTCCTCTCGGCGGCCCTTTTCCGGAAAATCGAGCCGAGCCCGTAAACTTCCCCCCGGGGGATTTCGGCACACCCCCAGGAATTTGGGGGGTCCACCCTTGAATCCGAGGACTGCACGCGGAAATTCCGCGATCCGAGGGGGACGGTAATCGCCCCACGTGGCTCGCTAACGCGGACAGAGTGTGGAGGAAGGGAGACATCCCCGAGAGTAAAATGACAAGACCGGCTCTCAGGGGATGAAATCGGATCGCCCACCCCCTCTACGTCTTTTTTCCCCTTTTTTCGGAAAATTGCCCCGGGCTTAAATCGACGTGCCGATCGTAAAGTTGCCCGATCCCCCCGAATCCCGTGGGACAACACCCCGGATTGCCACGGGGGGTGGCGCGGGGGTAGCTTCTGTGATTACGGCGCGGTGCGAAATACGAGGCCGCTCCGAGAGGACGGCATCGACTCGCTCCGCTCTTTCTTTTTCCTTTTTTTTTTTCGCGAATTCCTCCCTTTTCCCCTTCCCCCACCACCACCACCCCTCCTCTTTTTCCCATCGAAATCGTCACAGGTCGCACCGATGGAATTACAATCGCGATCGCGAGCCGGGGGTGGAATGGCGCATCGATCGGGGGCGGTCTCTGTGAAAGGGATGATGATGATACGGTGATAGGGGTTGATGCGAGGATACGGGGGAGGAAGCGGAAACGCGTGGTCTAACCTTCGCCATGGGGTGAAAGCGGTTTCTGGCCAGCGGGACTTTTATCGTCCCAGGGGCGTAATTAATCAGCCTCTAATTAATGCGCCCCGTCAGGGGGGTGTTTTCGGACGAAGGGTAGGTTTGCCAAGGTGCGATCGTCCATTAGAGAGGGGGACCCCGTAAGGGAAGGTCCTGGCGGAGATGTCGAAAGGATATTTCACCCAAGGGTTGTAGGATTGGATCCACGAGGTCCTCGGAAAACTGAATGTATGATGGGGGGGGAAAGGGGGGTCGTGTGGTTTTCTAAAAGTGTCGCCCGAGACGCAGGAGGGGGTGGGAGGGGGAAAAACGGCCGAGGCCATTAAAAGAAAGCGCCTTACCTCGCCGTGGGTTTGCCTTTCGCGACTTCCACCCCGGGAGGATTTAATGATCCCCCGGAAACAGCTTTTTAGACCTCCCCCCAACCCCCTCCTGCCCCAGAGTTCCGCACGATTTCCACCGAGTCTACCTCTCGAAGCCTGAAAATCGGAAAATCGTCTCCAGAGACGGGGAACGAGGTCCTTTCACCGCGAGCCATGACTAGCTCGCGATATCAGCTCCTTATCACCCTCTCTTCCACGTAAGCGCCGGTGATAAGAAGTTTGCGGACAAGTCACCGCGCTGAGTCCCTTCAACCCTTTCGGGAAACAGCTGTTTCTCCATGTTCGTACCCTGGAATCGCGAGTACCCACGATACAATTAAACTTCCCTATCGTAGAAAAGTCAAAGCAAAATAAGAAAAAAAAAAAAGAAAATTTCAGAATTCGATACTTTCAACGTAACCGTTAATACAGTCCCGTAAAATCACGCAACGTCTTCATTCCACGCGTTTGATTTTCGTTACATTCGAACCCTGAGTACGTGTCACGAGCAAAGAAAACAAAACCGCAATTCCGCGCCAAAAAGAAAAAAGAAACAAAAAAGAGTCAAAAGATTCGGCGAAAGTTCTGAATCGCTGTAAGATTTGTAGAATAGTCCTGTGGGTGAGTATAGTCATCGGCGGCATCGAGAGGGTTAATCCTCCGAAAGAAAATTCCAATTCGTGAGGGGAGGTTTGACAGGACACGTGACCAGGACTCCCCCCTCCATTTAGGAGGGTTCCGCGACTCGCGCAGCATAACTGCACACACGCGGGGGGAATGCATGCGAGGTGCATTTTTTCCGGCGCGCGGCGGCGAGAGGCGCGTGCGCGCGCACGCGTCCGATCGGCCGCCAATTCGAAAGAGGCCGCCAGTCCGGAGTCGTCCGCCGGCGAGGTAGGACGCGGCGTCTCCGCCTGCACCCGAGCGCGTCCAGTCGCGTCCCGAGCGCGAGAACCCGCGGGAATGTCGCGGTCGCCGTCGCGGGCTCCCGTGAAAATAATTCGCCGATCGAGATCGACGGCTCCCGAGGGAGGGGCGAGCAAACGCCGGGAGATATCGGAAATACATATCGAAGTGCGCGGAATGTAAAAAAAGCGGGGACCATCGCCTGTACGCGATAAGAGGAACCTAGGTGGGCCGATCGGACGACGCACGTGCGCCCTCGAGCGTCGCTTCTCCCTGGCACTTGGGGGAGGGAAAAGGGTGGCGGATAATTCCCGGACCTTGATTTCGAGAAGGAGATCCTTTATCGATTTTTGTATCCGTTTTTTTTGGGGGGTATTTTTTCTTTCAGGTCATACGTGTACCTTATCGGTACGAGGGGCCAACGCCTCCCATCTTCGCGTCTCTCTCTCTCTTTCTCTCTCCTCGAGTTCCTCCCGAATTATCCCGACAAGGCCCGTCGCGTGTGGGACGTTTGAAAGTATAATAGGGACGCCTCGGCGACGTTAATTCATGCCTGGAAATTTATCGCGATGAGTAGCGCGATAGCGGCGGCCCGGCTTATCAGTCGGCGGATTATCAATCGCGGGGCTGGCCGATGAATCGGATCGAGGACCTCATCGGGGGGACCATCGACGTGAAACCCGCGACGAGATGCTTCGACGGATCCGCGGGACGCGACGCGACGGCGCGCGACGTCGGGCCACCTTCGCGTGACGACGCTCCCCGCGACTGATAAGAGATAGCGCGGCGATTAATCGCCCACGAGGAGCTACGCGAACGCGGCAGGGCGCGTCTCCTTCGACATTTGGGAAAGACCGACCTCAAAACCGATCTCGAGACGAATCCCTCGAATTTCCGAAATCGGCGCCTTATCACTTATCAATCCCGGATCGGCCGTCGCGTTTCATCCGCGGAAGAGGGAGCCGCCGCACAGGTGGTTGGCAGAGGTCCGGGGAAGCCGGGGGAGCGAAATCGGAGCGATCGATCTCTTCCCAAGAATCGCACATCCCGAGGCACTTTCTCACCGATAAGAAACCCCTCCCCCTCCTTATCACCCCATTCAATTCGTCTCCGAACTCGAAATCCGGAAGTCGCGCAAAAATTCGAGCGACGATAAGCCTCGAGAGGCGCGAAAATCCTCTCTCTAGGTCGCGAGGTTCCCTCCTTCTGGAGAACTATAGGGTACCATTGATAACGACCGATAGCGATTCACGGAGGGGGGGGATACGCAGTCCGCAACGCGATCGACACGCGGAAAGTGTCGTGCGAAGGGAGAGAACACGCGGCCGAGGACAATCGATAAACCGAGGAGCTAAAAATGGTGCTGGAATGAAAAGTAGGGGAGGGGGGGCAGGGGTCACCAGGGGGGTCAAGTATTATCATCGAAGGCGAGCGCTCGCGAGACGAGTCGCGCAAAAGTGCGCGATCGGGAAGAAGGAAGCTCTGGATAAATCGGATTCCCCCCCCCCCCGACCCCCCTCACTAGGGATCGGATAAATTCCGCATAATTATCGGCTCTCGACTCCCCCCTCGATTTGAATATATGAATATCCATTAACGAGGCGTAAATCAGGCCGAGTGAAATGTTTAATCACTGCCGAGTAAATCCTGATAACGAGCCGTAATTTGAGGCGCCTCCGTGTCCATCCGGGAGGCGATCGCGTGGGGTAGGTTAGGGAGGGCAATATGGGGGGGGCCATCCCTTAACGGCGATCCGGTGAACCCGAGAGTACTCGGGTAACACTCCCTGGGTAACGAGGGTCGGTAAAAGTGTCCCGATATTTCGAAGTCTCGAGTACAAGTGCATATTGTACTTCCGCAAAACACGATTTGGATTGTACGGGATGGTAGAGAGGAAATTGGAGAAATTGTTAGGATATGGACTATACGTCTTAGTTTTTTTAAATTAGTACAGGTGGGCTTGTGGATCGGATCGAAAATCGGTATATGAAAGTGTATTTGTGTGATGACAGTCGTGTATGTAGATTTTACCGCAATTGAACGGGGATTTTTATCAAGCGAAAAACGGTGTACGTTATGGTTCGAAATTTCGCGTACGTGTCATCTGTAATTCATGTACTCGTGGATGAAAATTCAGAGGATAATTGTATACGTAGTCTCGACGTATCGTATGTTGAAGTAACTTCGACTACGTGATTATCGTATTTTAGAAAGGGTGATTTTAATAGCGAGGCGGTGGAAGAAGTGTACGCAGAGTGCACCGGTTTTTGTACTTGCGTACATGGTGTGGTGGAATGCGTGTCCGCGGTTTATACATGTCTATCCCTGGCAACAATGAAATGAAAAAGTCTAGAATTTTTTCCTACTGGTGCACGGTATGCGCGAAATAATTAATTGAAAAACCGCCAATCGGGCTCGTCGATCAGCTGAGCGCTGCCTACGGCGTAACTGTCAAAAACTTTTTGACACTTCAAACACTTTCGAATACGTATCTATCATAAAACCAGAAACAGCGGCATTGGAAATGAATACCAAACGAATGTGTACACTGCACTTTTACGCGAAAAGTCATGCAAAAAGTATTAAAAAGATCTTGAACGAGACAGTGGGACGAAAAGATAAATCGTTACCAATGTTAATGAATCTACTATAACGCGCTTCCCTCAAGGTACATGCAATCGTGTATGTGCACGTGGTCGAAAATCGGTACTCTAGTATCCGAGGTCTCACATACATGTCTTATGACAATCGCACATCCACGTATCAAACACTTTCGAATACGAATCTATCATAAAACCAGAAACAGCGGCACTGGAAATGAATACCAAACGAATGTATACATTGCACTTTTACGCGAAAAGTCATGAAAAAAGTATTAAAAAGATCTTGGACGAGACAGTGGGACGAAAAAAGAAATCGTTACCAATGTTAATGAATCTACTATAACGCGCTTCCCTCAAGGTACATGCAATCGTGTATGTGCACGTGGTCGAAAATCGGTACTCTAGTATCCGAGGTCTCACATACATGTCTCGTGACAATCGCACATCCACGTATAAACCTTCGCGCGCAATTGCTTATAAATTCTCACGGATGTGACGGAAAATTAGTATACAGAAGATTTCGTAATCCAGTACACACGGCCTCTAAAATCCGCATACCCGTGCACTAAAGTCCGCGCACTCGGGTGTACTAAAATCCAAATGCGCGCACTAAAAAGCGCTATATCTTGGAAAAACATCGACAACGTGTACATTATTCGACCCGGCAGTTTTAACAGAGCAATTTCCGACGGTAACGAGTAACGCCAATAGTCAATGACGTTGGACTGATATTTTTTTTTTTCTCAAAATATAGTCAGGGTCTCTATTCCACGGTATTTATCACTGGTTATTAAGGTGATAAGAAATAGGCATCGAAGAGGTTTTGTTTATAAAACATTTCTCCCAGCTCGATTTACCGAATAGTTTGAAACTCTACAACGTGAACAGGGAAACTATAAGGAAGGTCCTGAGACTCATGAAATTTCAATTCATTTCAAATTTGTTTATAGATATTTTAAAAATAGTTTGTAAAAAATGAAATTTCCCGAGTTTCAGGACCTACCTTAGGGTCTCCATATTCACGTTTTAAAGTATGAAACGATTTGAGACACCCAGAGAAAAGCTTTACGAACGATTGAGCTTTCGGATGCCACTTTCACATCCCTTTAATTACCACGTGTCGCGGCCACGTGATTCTCCTATACCGATAAGACAGCTTCCGAAATGTCCACCGATTAGCGTTCCACTATAATCGACCCGACATTGGCCAAATCCGAACAATTAATAAATTATTTCCAACAAACCGCGCACCGTAGAAAAAAAAAAAGAATTAAAAAAAAATGCTACAGGACTTTTCCCTTCCACTTCGAGCAAGGAGAGCGACGCGTAAACCGTGTACACGCGTGTACAAATGCGCGCGCATTTCAATATCGAGGGGACTCGAGGGGAGAGTGCGGGTTTATTTATCAATATTTAATTACCAAACCGATCGCCGGAATTCCATGCGTTCCAGCTCCCCAAGTCGCCTTTTTTATCCCAGTCGTTCCCGAATGTGTGGGGCCGCTTAATCGGGGGGGGTGAAAACGAAGCCAAGCTTTCCTCGAAGAACTGGAGGACTCGCCCCCTCCCTCTAACGATCGCCGGGGAAACTTTCGGGGGGAGGGAGGGGGATGAATGGAAAAACGGCCTGGAGATCGTTCTCCCCGCTAACGAATCCCCAGATCCAGGGGGAATCGATTCCGGAGGCCGCGAATCGCGGATAATAACCACGACGGTTCCTCCCCCTGGACCGGGCAGGGCCGGAAGTTCCCCGGAAGAAGGGGTAGGAAGAGGGATGAAGTTTCAATAATTACGAAGTTGGAGGTTTCCTGCCGCGAGCCGCGAACTTTGACCCGTCCCCCAGTCCCCCGGGCCCCCCGTGTCGCTCCATTATGTAAGCGGCCACCCCCTCCCCCGTTGCCGCCTAGACTTGGCCGCAACTTCGGGAATATCGATGAAGGGGAAAAAGAGGAGAGAGGGTTAGGTGGAGGAACCTGCCGAAGAACGAGGGGGTTCCCCCTGACAAAGTGCCCCGCCACCCCTTTACCCCCCACGGGGGACGCGTCCCGGTCGAGGGACCATCTTCCCGGAAGGCGCTCCCGAGGATGATCTCTAAACGGCTCGTTCTTTGCAGAGGACCCACCCTGACCGACCCCATAGGAAAGGGGAGAAGGACCGGCCGGCTTTTGACGAAGTCCATCTCCGATTGGTCCGCATTAGGGGTGCCCTGTGACCTGGGGGCCGAGGGACCGCCCGGACGGACGGACTCCGAGGAGTAGAGCGTGGAAGCGGCGAACCTGAGAGGGAAAGGGAGGGGCGTTTTTTCAGAAAAGGAGAGTTTGGCCGAGTACCTATGCAAGGGTGCCGAAAGGGGCCCCGAGGAGTCCCGGGACTCCCTCGGGAGTCGCCCCGGTGATGGCGGCCCGGAAGCGGTTCGCCGGTTTCGCAGCGTGGTGATCGGCCGGCCTTCTCCGAGGGAACCAAGATGGCGGCCGCGAGGCTCGCCCTGGGCCTCCTCTGGGCCGCCGCCCTCGAGGGGGTGCTGACCAACTCCCTCAGCAGGTGCGACGCGCCCCCCTGCTCCTGCGACGACTACGGACGCCTCACCTGCGACTGCAGGGACGAGGGGGAGGTAAGGATGCTCCTTCGCCCGGCAACTGGTCGTTCCATCGACCATTTCGCTCTTAAAACTACCTACAGCCAGAGTGTACGAAACCACCCCCTGAGATGAACGCGATCTTCGGAACAACGCCTAAGGATAAGCCGGCTATACACCGAGAAAAGAAATTCATCGAGCCTAAGAAATATGCTGGTTAAGGTGAAGTGAAAGCGGCGTCGAAGAGGTTTTGTTTATAAAACTTTTCTCACAACTCGGTTTACCGTATAGTTGGAAACCTTACAACGTGAATAGGGAGACCATAAGGAGGGTCCTGAGACTCATGAAATTTCAATTCTTTTCAAATTTGTTTATAGGTATTTTAAAAATAGTGTATAAAAAATGAAATTTCACGAGTTTCAGGACCTATCTTAGGGTCTCCATATTCACGTATTAAAGTATAAAACGATTTTTAGACCCCCAGTTCGTAGAAAAGTTTTATGAACGATTGAGCTTTCGGGTGCCACGTTCACATCCCCTTAATTCAAAGAATAATCATTTCACTCGAATAAACTCTAAGAAACGTTCCATCCAATTTTATTTGAGTCAATTACTCTTAGAAAGAGACAGAATAATTCCTCGGTATCATCGAAAGAAATGTTTCTTTGGTTAAATGAAATGTTTTTCTCAGGGTGGCCGCAACGCGTATGTACACTTTTGGCGCAAGGTTCCGCGTCCAGGGGTTGCACCCGGGTGCAGCAGACCGCCCTAGCGAAAGGGTTAAAGCTCCCTCACAGGTACATCCCTCACCACCCGTCTCGTTTCCCGAAGGCTCTCCGGTATCCCTCGGGAAGAGAAATCACCCCTTCGCCGCAAAGCGACCCTCTCTGGGGGGGGGGGGGGGGGGAGGGAGTAATCGCGTGATCGCGAACTTCCCGAGACAAACGCGACTGGAATTAATCGGGACTCGGGCGCAAGAGCGGGGGCGATCGCCCCCCTCCTTTAGGGGTTCTGACCCCCCTAAATTATGGCGCAAGGGTTGCAAATAGTGCAAGTACCTGGACCCACCTCGTTTTCCGGGAATCGCGTTGAATTTGCATCCAGGGAATCCGGGATCCAGGGGTCCCGCGGGAACTGGGGCACCTAGTAGGTGTTTCCTGAGGGGGGGGATCGAATGGCGTTATCAACGGGCACAGTGGGTCCCGAGATACCGGGCATTCCCGATAACCAAAGTGACGTCACGGCGTCGAACAGAGGCCGTGCCGACAAAGAGGAAGACGTCGCCGGAGCGATAAAGGGCCCCAGGAGGGGGGACGGGGGGAATCGTCGCGAAACGTCCCGGAGCCTTATGCACCGGGACGACACCGTAAAATCTCTCCGTTAAAGCGTGTCCCCGGTAACGCGATAACTCCTGGCGGTTAACCGCGTCTCGGTTTACGCCCCGGGAACCAATCGGCGTCCCTCGGTTCCTCGGAGGCACGTCGGCGGGATAAGGATCCCGACGCGGCCGAAATTCCCTCCCCGCGTGCGAAATCCGTGCCGTCACCCTCATAAATCGCGTAACTGCGTCCGTTCGACGGCCCGCGGAAGGGTTGCGGAGGTTCCGCGAGGAGCGAGGGGTCCAAGGAGCGCCTCCGACGCGAAAACGCGGTTTCTCCTCGGAGGAGAAACGGGAAAAGGGACAAATCAAGGCGATTTTGCAGGCGGATGCGGAAACCGCGCCGCAGAGAAGGGGCTTAATTTATTATCCGCGGGGGAGTATGAATTGTTGGGGGGGAGGCGTAATTAACGCGATTAAACGCGATTAACGCGGGGGGGCGCATCACGTCCCAGAGTCGACCGCGAGGGTATTACCACCGGCCGCTGGTTGTATTAATTTAATTGAACGGGGGGGTTGGGGCACCCGGGGTAACGTGGAAGGGGCAAGGGGGAGGTTTGCTGAAGGAGTAAAAATTTAGTAGACCGGGGGCAGGGGCCGGGGGACCGCGAAAAGAAGCGTACTTCGTCGTCGAGGACGGGGACGTCTCCTCTCGGGAGAGACAATTAATACGTAAACGAGTGTCCTCGGGCGGAAACAACCGGGGCGAGGGAAGATTCCTCCGGTCGGATAATCGGAGAGGGGGAGTCGTTCCTGAGGAAACCTGGGGGGAGGAAAGGGTGGCACTTCCTCGGAGAAAAGGGTCGCCTCCAACGACGGGGCGGTCGACACGTAGGGATCCCGTAATGGCGGCCGGCGCTCGCAAACGAATCGACCGTCGTGGAAATTGTTTCGCGTAAACTCCTTCGAGGGAGGCCGTAAAGAGAGCCGCGGTGCACCTTCCGCTGCGGCGATTTTCCGCGCCTTATGATCCCCTACGAAAGCCCTGAGGAATTCTCGGGAAAAGGGACACCTTGAAGAGGGGGATCGTGGAAGAAAAGGGACGCTTAGGCCCGATGCACACTTGCGTGATTCGGACGTCGGCGAGGCGTCGTTACTTGTGGCTAACTACCGTTTCGTGTGTATCGGACCATACACGACAATCTGCTGCGTGATCGAGGTTGCGTGGATGGAGGTTTGTGTGGAAGGTACCGGTACATGGCACAACAAACCGCAATTCCGACGCCAAACGTCCTAGACACGCGGGTGTACAGTAGGTCTTAAGGTGATGTAAAAGTGGCCTCTGAAACATCCTTTACACTTTTCCCCGAACTGGGTCAATAACCAAATTGTTTGAAACTTTGCCACACGAATATGAAGGTCTCAGGGAAGGTCCTGACACCCATAGAATTTCATTTTCCATAAAATATATATATATTTTTTTTATTCATCGCGGACTAGAACTAACATGACGGTGCCATGCTGCTTCGTGAAGACTTAGAAAGACCTCAAAAATGGAAACTATCAGAACCCAACCAAAAGAATTTGGGATATAGTAGCAAACCGACTATCACGAACTCAGATCACCCGGTGAGGCTCATTTCGACCTCCTTACAATCATTCTGTCGGAATGACACCTAGTGCTTCTTATTTTCTACACTTCTCAATGTTAATGCACATCAATTTAAATATAAATATCGATAACCTAGCGTCTCAGTTCCCGTTATCATCCAAATATCCGAAATGGCATTACTGCTAAAACCTCGAAGACCGAAGATCGTTTCGGATAGTACATCAAATACCTGAATTAATCTTCCCCATCGATTAATTTTCTCGCCGCCTTTTACGTCACCTTATCCTTATCAGAGACATGAAAGCGGTATCAGAAGAGTCGATCGTTCATAAAACTTTTTCGCCAACTGAACGTGCCGAAATGTTTGAAATCTCACCATAGACACATGGCGACCTAAGGAAAGTCCTTAAAACCCCTGGCACGTGTGTGTATTCCGTTTCTTTTTGTACAGAAAAAAAAAACTAAAAAGTGTCTAATTTGAAAAGACTGAAATGTCACAGGTGTCGAAACCTAGTTCGGGACCTCGTATTCCCATCGTTTCAGCATAGAAGCGCATACAACACTTTTTTTGCCTTTATCCCGTTCAAATGCGAGTTTATCGATTACCAGAGTGTTCTAAATTGTCATAAAATTGTCCTGACCCTTTCGTTTCTCATATCGGAGCCTCCGATAATTGTATATCGATCGAAATAGATAAGAGCTCGACGCCATTTTGATTTTGGACTGGGCTGAGTTAAAAAATGTTTTCCAAAAATCCAAATTTTCAATGTGTCAGGACAATTCTTAGATGATCAAGAGCGATGTGTCAAAGTTTCGGAAAGTTTGGTCTAATACCCTTAAAAAATAAGTGTTGTGTTCGAATCGACTGATTTGAAGGGGGTTTCGCTTCACCTTAATCCCTCCACGGTTCGTGCCGTGCCTCTGTTTGCCGCGTCGAAGGTAGATTCAGGAAAACGTGAGAAAAGCGGAGACACATGGGTGTATCCCGAACGAGCAATTCCACGCATAACGGGGCGAAAGGGGATGCGATCCCGTATCCGGAGGCGGGGCGCGATAAAACTCAGATTCCCGACGTGCGACCGGAAATTTACGAGGCCCCGGGTGGCTGCCGTTAGAGCCGGCTCTCTCATCGGTATTCGAGACACCCGGTGCATGACGTTACCCCGGTAAACGTTAACGAGCCCACCCGTTACCTAACGCCGTCGCGAAGCGGCCATTGGGACCGAAAATTCCCTCTTCGCGAGGTGTCGTCCTCGTTATCCGTCCGAAGAAAGATAACACCAGATCCACGCACCCCCTGATAAAGCTGTCCCCATCCGGTCCCCCGAAACCCCTAAGAAAAAAAAAAAAAAAAAAGAAACACCACGACGTCCTTCCAATCCCTCGACATCCATCATGGAATGAGAAGGAAGAAATGGAGCGGCTCCAAAAAAAAAAAAGAAACGAAGGAAAGAAAGAAATACAAAAAGGATACCACCCGGACTAAGAGGGAAAAGTAGGAGACGGGAGGAGAGAGAATAAGTAAAGCCAGGGAATTTTTCAAGAGAGCCGATATCGGGGCCTGCACGAAGGCAGGGGAGGACAGGACCTCCTTGGAGAGGAATCCTTTGTGGCTTTGGGGCGATATCAAGGAGCGAGTCTTCCATCTGCTTCCGGGTCGACGTGGATCCGCTTTTCCCGCGGCGGTCTTCCTGCGAGATCGCAAAGGTCCCGGGGATCCTTATTGCGGGATGGCGTGATCGTCCTGGGGTCCCTCTTCGGCGTCCCTTGGGCTCCTCCAGGTCCGCATCCTGGTTTTCGTGTGGCCTTGCGGAAGCTAGGCCTTCGTGCCGCCTCCCCGGCGAGCCGGGTCCCCCTCGTTATCGCGATAACGACATCATTCTCCTTAATTGGCAGGACCGGGGCGGGCGCACGTCGGGGAACAATTACGCCCGGGTTAGAAGCCTAATTATAAGGACCTCCCGCCTTATTAGCTTAGGCGGCTCGTCGTCGAATCTCGCCCGGCAAATTGCCGGGTAACACGAGGACGAGGGAACTTGGTCGTAACGACGTCCTTCCGTTCTCGTCGAGAAGTGCTCCCGTCCGGAGGCGATCCATGTCACGTGGGTCCGGAAAAAGGATGCATCTCATCGATAATTCGGAAGATCTTGAAGGTTTAACCCCTTGCCTTAGGATTTAAATTCCAATAGCGCGTGCCATAAACAACAAAAATGTCGGTCATACATCGGGCCATATCACGGTTTGGCTGAACGTTCAACGTCTCACACGTCTCTCACACGTTTTGTTCACGTTTGGCCCGATTGACATACGCCTCTCACACGTTTTGTTCACGTTCGGCCCGATTGATATACCACGTCTCTCACACGATATTGTAAGTTAAGGGGTTAAAGGTCTTAAGGGGACGTCAAAGTGGCATCCGAGGGTTGAGACCTTCATCAAACTTTTCTCAAAACTCGGTCTTCCGAATCGTTTGAAACATTGCAACGTGAACACGAAGCCTGCAAGAAAGGTCCCGAGACCCATGAAATTTCAATTCTCATACGTTTCAAAAATCTCTACAATCAGATGTTTAGAAAATAGACGTTTCACGGGTATCGAGACCTTCCTTACAGCCTCATAATCCGCGTTGTAAAGTTTCGAACGATTGGAGACACCCAGCTCGGAGAAGTTTCATAAACGAGGCGTCTTTGACGCCACTTTCACATTACCTTAACCCTTTTAATACTATCGCCGACTATATGGCGAGCTGTTAATACCAGCTCTCTTTAGGCGACACTCGGTACTTTGCACCGAATTCAAGCGCTTGTATTTAATGAGACATTTTCTGCTTTTGCCCTAGTCTGGTGGGTGGAGTTGGTATAGAGAATGCTTGTGGACAAGAAAGGGTTTAACCCTTTCCTTCCGAAGGTAAACCGGAGCTGAAGGGACCCCCGAGGTGGGCGGCGGTTCCAAGGTCCGATCACCTTTCCGCACGATCGATCGGTCGATCGATCGGTCGAGTGCCTCGACGAGGATCCTCCTCCCGTCCAATTCCTTTGTTCCCGGCTGCGGGTCGCGCATCTCCGCAATTAGGGAGGCTAACTGCCGGTTTCCGTTTCAGGAGCTGGTCCTGACGTCGGAGGGCGAGCGGAAGCTGAGTCCGCACACAAGCCGCATAGTCGTGGGTAACTGCTCGGTGGTGGTGCTGTCCAACTCGAGTCTGACCTCCATGACGGGTCTACGCTCGGTGGACCTGGTGAACGTGGCGAACTTGAGTCTGGCCCGACAGAGCTTCCAGCTCTCCCCCCGGAGCAGCCGCACGAGGATCACCATCCGGAACAGCAGCATGGACCAGCTTCCGAGCTACGCCTTCCACGGGAACGTGGAGAGGATCAGCTTCGAGGGGGTGCGAATCGGCCTGGTGAGCGCCTTCGCGTTCGCCGACCTGGTGGGCACCGAGACCCTCACCCTGGAGAACTGCTACGTGGAGACGATGGAGGCGCAGGCCTTTAAGAAGTTCGACGTGGACTTTTTCCACGTGATAGGTGGGAGCTTCGGGGAGGTGGTGCCAAGCAGGGCGTTCAACGACATCGAGGTCGAGAAGAAGTTCATGCTGGACGGCGTGGAGATGGGTACGGTCAGGAGCTCGGCCTTCATCATCAAGAAGCCGAAGACTGTGGCCATCCAGAACTGCGTCTTCGGGAGCGTGGAAAGCGAGGCCTTCGGCATCACGGCCAGCGGCACCGTGGTCATCAAGAACAACACCTTCCGTAACCTGGCCGTAGGGGCGTTCCTGGGGATCCGGGGAGATCCGGAAAGCAAGGCTCAGTCCGATTCGCCATCCGACACCCTCAGCGACCTGATCTTCAAGGACAACACTCTGGGCAGCTTCGAGGAGGGCTCTGTCATGTTCGACCGGTCCAGCTTCAAGCCCGAGCTGGACAACGTCTTCGTGGACCAGCCCTGCGACTGCGAGCAGCTCCCTGTCTGGAGGAACAATATTCTAAACTATAGTAACGTGTACTCCAGGCTCTATGGGGGAGGAGCGCTCCTCCAGGAGCCCATCAACGACGAGCCGGAGACGTTCCTCTGCGTGGATGCCGGGGACCAGGACACCCCGGTGTCCTTTGCGGATTTCGAGCCCCGCCATTGCGCCATAGCCGGCTCGGTCCTCTTCTTCGTCCTCCTCCTGGCCGGCCTCCTGGTGGTCCTCGTCGCAGCGGCCGTCCTCGGGGTCTGGTGCTGGCGACGAAGGAGGGAGAACAGCCGCAAAAGGTGGATCAGCGTTCCCACCAATGCCCCGGATGTGGTCTCCAAGAAGAACGGAGTGATAGGCAGAGAGCCCGCCCCCGTGGACAGCAGGATCACCATGGTAGTCCCCGATGGTCGCCTCTATCGAGAGACCGAGTTCCACGTCATCGTCGAGAAGGCCGAGCCCCTCACCACGGAGTTGTAACGACGACCTTGCTGCTCCTCGTCCACGGGAGCATCCACGAGGCTCGCGTCGTCCTTGTCCTCCGACGAAGACGATGCCGAGCTGGTCCAAGGGTCCAGAGCCGTGCGTGTCTACAGACTCTGAGAGATCTTCGTCTTCGTCTTCATCTTCGATATCCTGTGGGTCCTGGAACTGCCCTCGAGGGACTCGTGCTGACGAGGACCGGTCAATTTACGGGACCCTTGGCGACGACTCCTCTTCAAGGATCAAGTGTAGTGCGGGAACTCGGACCGAGACGAGGAACCCGAAGAGTGGAGGAATCGTGGAACGTTTAAGTGGTGTCGGTGATCCTGGATCCCGACGACCCCGAAGACACCCAACCCCGGGTGCGAAGACTATGGTCCGGGCGGACTTTGAGAGTTTCGAGAGCTCCAAGGACTCCAGGGAAAGTTTGCCGGGAGACCCGAGTTCCTTAGGCATATCCTGACCGTCGTGTCGCGCGAAAGACAGGAGTTAAGGATTATTAAATTCCGAAGGAGAATCGTCGACTGTTAAAACCGTACGCGAGAGAGGTCTCTCTCTCTGCCTCGCCTCTTCGAGGACGAAGGGATTAGAGTTAGGGATTTAGGCTAGAGAGAGGGAGGATTTCCGCTCCCCGTCCCGGGGGAGAACGGCTCTTCCTTACAGGACATCCTGAGTATTCTAGGGCTCTAAGGATAATATCCGAAATGACTTCAATAAATAAAAACGGTGTTTTTATGGACGATCGTGCGGGGCCCGTCACTCTGGGGGAACTTCTTCACCCCATTAAGCTGGTTCCGGAGATAAGCTTCCTCGATGACGCGTCTTATCACCTGCCGTTCCTTTGACATATCAAAAGCGTCCCTTCCGGGCCTGAACTTCCAATCGATCCTTACGGAAACTCGGGAGAACCGGGCGAGTACCCGAAGGAGAAGCAACGGACTCGGGGAAAGAGGCAAATCTATCGTATCGTTTCTCCCATACCAAAGGCACTATCCCGCGAATCCCATGGGAATACGGTTTATCTCCACTTCTATCTCTCCTGGCGATCCCTCGACCTGGATTTCCCAATTCCCTCTTTTTGATACCCTATCGCGATGGCCTCGTTTCGCGGAGGCACCTCGCTCGAGCCTTCCCCCAGATCCAATGGCCGAATTAATTTGGTAATTTTTTAATCGTCTAATCTTGAGATAATAGTCCAGTCCGAACGAACCTAACGATCTCCTGAAATCGAACCGACCGATCGGGATAATTCAGTTCCTAGTCATCGCGATAAATTTCGAGGAATTCTGACAGTCGCTGATCCTGGGACGATCGAAAAGATCGTTTCTGTGCGAGACCTCTCCTATCCTCTACTGAAATCCGATTCCTGAGTTCAACTATCAATTTTGAGGAACTCTGAAAATCGCAGATCTTGGGATGATCGAAAAGACGATCTCTGTGCGAGACAACTTTCCCATGCGATATTAACAGTTTCCTATAAGTCTTTCAAATGTTGCCCAGTCCCAGATAGAAATTCATGAACATCATGCAACGAGGAAAATCGATTTAAAAAAACTGTTTGCAGACCATCTGCTGCATTAAATGTCTGCAATATATGTACGCATATTGCACAATAAATTTGAAGAAAAATTCCCGATAAATTTGTCATAAATGGGATGATCGAAAAGACCGTCTCGGGGCGAGACCTCTCCTATCCTGACACTGAAATTCGAATCTCAAGTTCATACTATCAATTTTGAGGAATTCTGAAAATCGGAGATCCGGGAATGATCAAAAAGATGATCTCGGTACCTCTCCTATCCTGATACTGAAATTCAAATCTCGAGTTCATACTATCAATTTTGAGGAATTCTGAAAATCGCAGATCCTGGGATGATCGAAAAGACCGTTTCTGTCTGAGACCTCTCCTATCCTACGATCAATCCTTATGATCATATCCTGCGATGTCCTATCCTACGATCTACTATCTTACGATCCATACGATCAATTTCGAAGAATTCTGAAAATCGCAGATCCTGGGATGATCGAAAAGACCGGTTCTGTACAAGACCTCTCCTATCCTGACGCTGAAATTCGAATCTCGAGTTCATACTATCAATTTTGAGGAATTCTGAAAATCGCAGATTCTGGAATGATCAAAAAGACGATCTCGGTACAAGACCTTACCTACCCTGATACTGAAATTCGAATGTCGAGTTCACACTATCAATTTTGAGGAATTCTGAAAATCGCATATCCTGGGATGATCGAAAAGACCGTTTCTGTCTGAGACCTCTCCTATCCTGCGATCAATCCTTATGATCATATCCTGCAATGTCCTATCCTACGATCGAACGAACGTTTCCTGTCTTAATGGACCCAGAGGAGGATGTCCTCCACCTGATACGAAGAGCGACGATCGTCCTTCGATCGATCGCACTGTACCTGTCGACCTCGAAAGACTTCCTAGACTCCGGTGATACGAAATGAACAAACCCTGAGTCGAAACTTCAGCCCTACTTTGAACCTCTGTAACCTAAATAAGACCTTTTGGCTCCATTGAGAGACTCGGTAGAGTTTCGCGCCAAACATGTATACATATAGGCACAAAACACTGACCTAGTCATTATCTGCGATAACAGCCTGGCACATCAAACTGGACAATGAATGTCCTTTTCTGAGACTCTAATGAGTAATGTCAACTTTAACCAGGTTATCGAGATCGGACTATTTTTCTGCGTTTTTTGTTTTTTTTTTGTTTTTGCGAGCTATGAACGAAATTTCATTATTTTTTACCACCTAACATCCACGGAGATGTGTTTGTAGATTCTACGCGACGTGGTTATCATATGGACAAGCAAATATTTGATAAGGTCCCTTGGTTAATGGATTCTGATCGATTACAAATAGGTAATGACAAACATTTACGTAATTTCGGACACTCAACTCGGGTCGGAGATGATTGGCTTGACGGGAGAAATATTGTTTTCTAAAATTAACAAAACGATTTAACTAACTACGTTGGTGGATTGAGGTAGAGTTCGGTCAAGTGGATAAAATTCGGCTCACTCGACGGAAACGTTTTCTGAAATTAACCAGATGCAGTCAATTAAGCGATTTTGTCAAGTGAACCAATTTTTTTTTTCTTTTTTTTTTTCCCCATCAATTAAGTTCTACTTTCGCTCTACAAATAGAAGAAACGGAAATACCTGCCACTTTTAACCCTCCATAACGCCATACGACTCGTATACCGACATTTAATAAGTCTTGTTTGACTTTTCGGGCAAAACTTAACATAGCTTTTTATTATTGCATTTCACCTTCGTAATCTGTTTTAACCCTTTGGCTCTTAAGAGCGCCTAACGGCGGCCGACGTTTGGTCCAATATTGCCTGCCCGGTCAGACGAATTTCGCCCATATGTCGAAATAGCTCCATGTACAAAGGGTTAAAAACAATCTCTGAGAATCTCTCGACGCAAAACGTTCACCATTTATTTTCTAATAGTAAAATATGATAAATTAATCCAATTCTGATTTTTCTTCCCCCTGTTTTAACCCTTTGGCTCTTAAGAGTGCCTAAAGACGGCCGACGTTGGTCCAATATTGCCTGTCCGGTCAAACGAATTTCGCCCATATGTCGAAATGGCTCCGTGTTCAAAGGGTTAAGGCCTATAATAGGTTCGAAGTAGCGTGAAAAATTCGACTCGAGGTGCCTCTCGGAAGCGTCAATCCAGAGGTTCAATTAATTATTAATCACCGACCCGAGCGCATCTTCTCGGGCCGGGTTGGCCAAGGTCAGGGTCACGATATATCAGACCTTGGGGCCAACTTCGGAACCGCGAGTATCACGTTCGGCGACGACCCCGTTTTCTAAACGAGCGTTTAGTTGTAATTATCGTGACTGTGATATAATCGACAGCCGACTGTATAATTAGTATCACATTCGGAGAACGCCGCCGTGGCGACGAATAAAGGAGACTTTGATTCAGTCGAGAGCGTCGTTGAAATTACTCCCCCAGATTTCCCTCTTCCCTCTCGTAGCGAGAAGAAAAAAGGAAGAAAGAAGAAGAAGAAGAAGAAGACGAAGAAGTAGAGGAGAAGTGGCGGAAGCATCGACACGGCAGATCAAATGAGCGGTGACAATTCGGTACGTGAGAGGAATGCCGTACGTTCGTTATCGCTGTTATCTGGCATTGTCGCAACGCGTCAGAAAATTCCACGGCCTAGAGACGCGGTCTCTTCTGTCGACCGACCTAGATGAGAGCCGGATTTTACGACCGTAAGAGACGTTAACATCGCAGTCATAATGTTTACTCTTACGTCATGCCTCAAAATGATTAGTAAGCGCCGCCACGGTCATATTTCGTTATTAGATACTCATCCTCAGTCCAGGGACGAATTATCGCCGATGTACTTTTAGCGCCTCGATGCAAAAAGCCGTTAATTCCCCATCAAAATGATCCCCAACAGTTCGACGAATTGGTTGAATAGTTTTCCACGGGAGAAATATCGTGGAATTCATCGAATTCACGGTAAACCGAAGTGGGTAAAACAGGGCGTCGCGGTCCCGCTTAGTGGTACTATTTGCGCCATCTTTTGGCGGCGGCGAGAACTAAACGGCAAAGTAGCGTTTAGCAGGGACCTACGGACGCCAAAACTTTCGATTTCTTTTCCGCAGGTAATCATAACGCGTCTTTGAAACATTCGAGCCAAAGTAGCGTGGTAAGAGATTTTCGGTGGGACTCACCTAAATGGAAGAACTCCGTCGAGCGCCTGGGAGACCATCGGAGGGGACGTCAGAGCGAAGCCTCGACCGAGGAGCGCGGAGTGGACGGAGAAAATCTCCTTAGCCGTCTCCTGGGCGGATTCCAAATCCTCTTCGACCTCCTCCACTGCGGGGCAAAAGCGAGATCTATGGTACCGCACTTTACGGCAAATTGGATTGGAAGATCCCCGCGGAAAATACGAGGAGAAAGGCGAGAGCCTCCAATTGGATATTCAGGAATACTACGTTCTTGTATCCCTTTCGCCATTTCTTTTTTCTTTTTTTTTCTAATGCAAATATATCCACGCCCTTACTTCCTGCGACACATGTAAAGTGGACGAACCTGACACTGGCGGTAGGGCGAGATTTTTCTTCATGAGACTGGCCGCACAAGCGCCACCCAGAAAAGACAACTCGGTCTCCAGGTTCTTCAAGCCGTTCCCTGAGGTGATCCAGTCGTAGCCAACGATTAGACACTTGAAGCCGTACGTGATCGCCCGCTCGTCCTTCATGTAGTCGGAAGCGGTTTCCAAAGAAAATACCACCTCGTTACCTGCCCAAAGAATTGCAAAATGACGTTCCTTCCGCTCTGAAAATTCACTGGTTCCTGTATCCAGCGCGCTCGTCAGGGTTGAACTTACCAGGAAGAACGACCGCATTCTGCGGCCACTGAGACTTGACGCTGCTGAGTTTGCACAACACCGGCCAGTGGGTGGGATTGTCCTCCGACGCCGAAGCAATACGTGCTCTGTAGTACAAGAATGGAAATATTTGAACAAAAAAAAAACTGTATATATATAAGATAAATAAAGGACTGCGCATCGTGATTTACCCGGAACTCGTGACGTTTGGAATATACATCTGCAGGTAGTCCTCCAGCTGCGAGGTGCCGCATTCCGGCGTGAACTCTACCGTGAGCCATTTAACCGTTTCTGGGAATGTCACTTTATAATGCGAGACGGAAGCAGGTTTGTACGGATGATCGCTCTCCAGCCAGGTGTAGTAATTGCTGGTGGTAACAGGAGACGATTGGTGAGGTGGTATCTCGCCATCCTGGGAGGTCTGAGAATTCCCCATGGCCGCGAGAAGGTTCAGCGCGGATACGTGAGGAAGCATCTCCTGGATGAGAGTGAGCACTTGCACTCCGATCTAAAAATAATCGACAGGATAGGTCAATTTGAAGCCCTTTGCAGTAGAAGTAATCCTTAATCCTAGACAAATCGAATGTGCACCAACCCTTGGATCGGAGGTGGCAAGGGGACTTATGTGTGCCATGACCAGCGGCAGCAGAGTCGTCACAAACGTCGCATTCCCGAGTACCTCGGTAGAGAGTACATCTTCCGCTTTCTCCCTTGCCAATGCCAGGATGTCATTGGACCGCTGCACAATGGCTGCAGTCATGGCCAAGGTGCACTTCCTAGCCTGCAGCTCGGCCATGGCTTTGGTGGTACGATGGCCCTCCGAGTCTTGGGGGTTCGAGTAGTACAGGATGTGCGGAATTTGGCCCCTGGTCTGCGTAGTGCCTGGACGGTTCGGAAAAGACATTAAGGATTATAGGACTCTACCGTGTATCGATTCTCGTATACGGGGAGGAAGGTGTACCGTTGAAGCTCAGGGAACACGCCGTAAACGTGAAGGTGGTACCATCGGGACCCTTAACGGAGCTTAGACCACCGTCGCCGTTGCTGGTCCGGCCACCTCGATTGCGAAGTCTTATGGCGTACTTGACGTTCTCCTTAATGGGCACCGGGTTGTCGAACTTAATCTCCACGACGTCGTTGACGCAGTCGTCCGGGCCAAAGAAGCCGGTGGTGAAGTCCAGGCTGCTCCATCTCTGGGTGTGCGAGGGATCGTTCCCAGTGTTATTTTGCTACAAAGCGCGGAACAGACAGCTCATCACTCGCGAGGTGATTAAAGGAGACGCCGAGATGTCCGAGGAAGATGTTTTATTGGACGTAGAAGGTAATACAGAAAGTCGACTTACGTCGTCCAGAAGTTCTAGCCAATAGTCGTAGATACCAGCTCCGCCAAAGATCCCAGCGCCTGCGATAACGATTCCAGGCCTGTCCACGGAAAAGCAAATTGCATCCGGAGATCCGTTCCCGGTGTTCCAAGACCTAGTCTTATTAATCCGCGTGAATCTGGACGGTGTGGTGTACAGGAATCTTCCGCAAGCCGTTCGCAGATCGTCGTCGTTCCCGCTCGACTGGATAGCCAATTCCGCGACGATCCTCGCCACCAGGTGGCAGCAATGATACACCAGGTCTGGCAGCGATTGGTTCTTCTCCCTACAGAGACTCTTCTTAACGGGTATCAGAATTAAGTCCAAAAGTCTCTCCAGGACCTCGCGGAAGGACCAGTTCATAGTGTCCTTGGCGGAGCTTTCTATCTGCGACTTGTAATTGATCTGCTCCTCTAGGATGGGATAATTGTGAACCTCCATCGAATTGGTCGTCGACAGGCCAGCGTTGTCGGAGGGACTCAACTGGCGCTTTAAACTGTCACTGCTGTCCACTACGTTACTGAGAATTGGGAATGTTGTGTGAAGACGAACGGAAGACTGGCAAAGGGATGCAAGGACTGCCGAGAGGAGCCGATCTCTGGACGACGTCCCTTGATCCTACAATTCCAAACGATAACATTTCAACGTCCACCTTTATATACGCGGTTTCTATTACTCCTAACACCTGCCTTATTAATCTCGGACAGTAGCTCGCATAATAAAGTCCACTTCAAGTATGCCGTAGGGTAAAACGCGTGGTAGCAGGACACGAACGTCTTGTGACACTCGTCCAGAATTGTTCCGGTCATCTTGTTACGTAGGATGCCGGATCCTGTAAAGGAAGGTGATCGCGATTACTATACCGTTGCACACGTTCACTCTTCAGCGATTATTCGACCCACCTTTGCTCACGCGTGTCTTGCCCTTGGTCTTCGCATTGGTAGTCAGCGAGTCCGACAGAATCTGACGAAGTAGTGCTCTGACTTCTCCTATGCACTCTGCCAGCTTAACCGACTCCGGCAGAGACTTCTTAGCATTAACTAAAATCAGCATTTCTTAGGAACGATCCGAATCGTTAGGACAGAACGGGAGGCTTTTGGAAATAATGACGATACCTTGTTTCGGATAAATCACGTTGGTGTATATCCTGAGTAGCCTTAAACTGGCCTTACTGATGTACACCAATCGCTCCATCTCCAGCATTGTTTGCGACGACGAAACCGTTTCAGCCAAATTGGTCTTCAGAGTGTTCCAACTCCATTGTAGAAGCGATATCAGCGATTGAAAGCATTCCTGAATTTAACGCCCAGAAAAAGTGTTATTACCGGCGATTCTAATTTCTTGTGGATCTAAATAGAAATAGATTTACTCGTTCTGTACCTTCGTCACGGTTTTACTGAATTCCGAACTGAGAGTGTACACCGATTCCGACTGATCGCGTTGCCTGTTGGATCCTTGATTTTCCGGGGTGACAACTCGGTACAACAATTGCGGAATCTGGCCCGAGCTGATGTCGGTACCATTGTTGGATTTCTTTGACGATTTGAAGTAGAACATCACCCTACGATGATAACGCGATTAGTAGTTCAGATTTAATTAATCATCCCACAGCTAGTAACCGATTCAACTGACTGGTCTTCGGTGGTGACGACTCCCTGTCCTTTCGATCCACAGTCACTGGAAGGCCCGCTGATTTTTGCCCAAGCGACATACCACCTGTTCGCTTGCAAAAGGACGGGCTCGTCAAACATGATGGCATACTTCTGCCTGGATCCACACTCGTACGGAATCTCTTCAGTTTCTGCCAACAGGTCGCCGTCGTTTTCTTGGTCACCGCCGTCAAAACCGATGTCGAAAAGCTGAAAGAATATTCCGAGTTACATTATTGTCCAACTGAATGAATGTCCCTGCGTTCGATCTCGAACAGACCTTTATTCTCGCTGTACATTCCCCTCGACCACCGAAGAGACCATAACCACCTAATAAAATATCCGTATCGGCCATGAACCTAAGAGCCTCGATGGAATTCCTGGCGTACCCCCAGCCAGCACCATGAACTGCAAGGCAGCGTATTTGTAATGCACTTCTTGTCAAGATTTCATTAAAAAGAAAAAAAAAGGGGGGGAGTAACGATTTATGCACTAGTCATATTTACGTTCAAATCTGCTAACAGTGGAGAAGTCTTCCCTACTGTAGACCTTCCCCTGAGGTGATTGGCTACACTCGTTTTGTTCGACAATAGTCAATTGTTCCTCCTGGGCTTGCGTCAATGTGTCAAGGCAGCCCAAGAGATGCATCGCCGCCTGGGAGCGCGTAACGAAGCAAAAAGGCACCATCGGTAACGCCAATCCTGGACTTAATATAGACGCCTCTAAGCCAGGGATAGTCCTGGCCTCGGTGGAGATGATATTATAACAGCTGATCTCGTTATTCGACGGATTGTACGTCCATATCACATTGTACAGAGGGTCCAGGCAAGTGGCCGTATTGCTGAAGTCCACCTGGTCGAGACCGCTGAAAGTGTTGCAGCTGCCGTCCCGTTTGCTGATTACCAAACTCTTGAAGGAGTTCGGATGGTCGGCCTGGTGCGGGATCAAAACTGGAAAACGAAAACTCTCCTTACCCTGAAGCCAAGAGCAACGAGCCTTAAAAGTATCCCTGGAGGAATACGTACTTATACAATTCTTATTGGCCATTACGGTGCTTCTGGTCAAACAGATGGAATTGATCTCGTCGATCTTGACGTAGGTTTGGTCACCAGCTGCCCCGATCCACGTCGCTCGTCTGCCCCATCGAGGGCCGATGTTGGGAACTACGTTTGGAAAACTATGCCAGGGTTGCGATCTCTCGGATCTACGGCTGCTCTGGCTTAAGTTGGTGCCATCGTTCTGACCGCCCCAGCAGTTCATCCCCAACTGCCCTTTCTGCGCCACATCAATTTCGCGAATAAGTGGTGCAAAGTTAAGGAATTAAATTTATCGGCTAGCACTTACTTGATAAGCTCCAAAGGTATAAACCTCGCCCTTTGACGTAAGGACGACGGTGTGATTGCCACCAGCTGCCACTTGCGAGGCAAGACTAGGAAGCTTCACTTGAACCAGTCCAGGATGTGCCACGAGATCTCCCACTCCCAGCTGGCCATATATATTGCTTCCGAATGTGTACACCTCACCGTTTTGCAAAAGTATCACTGCAAGAGAAGAACAACAGTTTGGAGATCATAAAGCGATTTGGTTGAGTCCCTTGATACAGAGTAAACAGTCACCTGTGTGATGCAAGCCACAGGATATTTGAACAACAGGACTATCGCTTGGGACCGGAACTCTTGCAGGTGGAATGCTGACGACTCTGGCCGCATCTCCTCTTTCGGCGTCGCTTCCGCCAACGCCTTCCTCTCCTAGAATATTGTTAGCGAGTCCTAGGGCAGCTCTACCCGGAGAACTTTTCTGAACAGATGCGCTGGGGCCGGCTGTTCAGTCAAAATAATAAGGACAAATAATCGTATCCCAAAAACAAAAGCATGGCAAAAATTACGTGCTGATGTAGCGTTGTAGCCGTCTTACCTAGTCTATGGTTGCCTGTCTCCTTCAATTTCAGGGTATACTTCATCGCACTAGGTCCGGCTTTGTTTCTCTGCTTCTGGCCCTTCTCTTCGCAGTACTTCCGCAAATAGTACTGGAGTTTCGAATTGATGGTTCCTGAAAATAGAAAATCGAAAATTAGAAGGCCAGTAGTGTCTTCGAGTTAAGTCAGATTTAGCTCTTCGCTTCGCTACCTCCTGCATTGTCGCTGCTCTTTTTCGCACACATTCTACAGCAGCCACATTCGGCACACCCACTGTCACCTACTCCGCATCCGCACTCCCTGGAACGAATTTTCTCTGTAAAGTCAAACGTCAACATTCAGGGAATAATCACCCTAGGCTCCTCGCTCACCAGCCAGGGTTTCGATCGGAACGCAGACCATTCAAACATGAAATGCCATATCCAGTACATTCTCTGCACACGGTGCAAACCATGCACACACCATGCCTCCATTGATGTTGCCCAGGAAAACACATAGATGCCGACCTTGCCCATACTTCTCCTTGATCCCCAGGGTCTGAAAAAACACCGACATGATAATACATATCATCCTGATCATTGCCATCCTAGACTTCGATTAGCATTGACAATCAATCGATGATCACCTTCTTCGGTCAGGATAAGCTCGTCCTCTGCAGTGCCCGTTTCCATGGCGACTACTGCAGCTTCCTTATTCGTTGAATGGACGCTCGAGAAATCTCTGCCACACTGGCCCTTGTTATTAATTCCAAAGGTATATAGGTGGCCCTTGTTGGTCAGGGCAACCGCGTGAGCCTTCCCCATGGCTACGCGAACTACGCAGACATCTTTGAGGTCGTTGACGAGACCAGAGCTACTGTCCGCGTGCAAAGTGTCTTTGCCGAACATGAGCAAAGAACCTTCCTTCGTGACCAGAGCCGTCGAGCCGTTGTTACAAGTAGCGTCCACTATGAACTGTCCTTCCACCTTGAGCATTTTATTAGGTTTCACCGGTTTGGGCTGGCGTCGCGTTTTTGCTAAAAAGTATCAATGCTATTGATTTCCAGAAGAAGCTGCGATGTGGCCTCGAAGAACGGCTGTTTAGGCAAATCAACTCACTGGTGTCTCCGTCTTCTCCGCGTCTTGCAGTTCCGGCAAATAGTACCGAGCCATCTTTTAGCACGATGACGATATGCTGACCGTCGTGGCCCGTTGCGAAGTGCACCACTTTCTGACCTTTACTCATCGGGACCTCCAACCATCTGTTAGGCCTAGTGTTAGTTTTCAGTCCCAGGCAACTTCCTTTTCCCGTATAGAGTAGCTTAAAGCAAAATTCAAATAAAGTTTTGTACATATAATTGTTTAAAATGGCTCATGGGCGTGAATATCGCAGCTCACCTTTCCGGACACAGTCTTGAGTAAACCAAACTCTTTTCCTGCAGTTACGGATGCGATCTCGTCGTCGCAGTCTGGATTCAAAGTACGAACAGTTTGTTCTTCGTCAAAAGTCGCACTCCCGAATACGTCCACGCACTTCCTTGCGAGCTTCAGAGGCAACTCCGAAGTCACCGTCACTGGATTGCTTAATGTGTTGATTGTGCGGACGACGAAGCCCTCCTGGCGTAAAATATTCAATCAATTCAAGAGTTATCGAAGACACTAGGTATTAAAAATGAACTTGACTCTCTCAAAGTTAGTATCATATGATAAAATTACTCACATCTTTACCAGCGGTGATCATCCCCAGATTCTCACCATCGGAGAACATGACCGAAGAGGGCCAGTCCCGTCCCTCCAGAACAGCAATTCCCATTAACGCAAGAGACTCAGCATCTAATATTAAAAGCTCGCACTGTTTCCTGGGAGCGCACTTGAAATATAAGGAACTCTGCAAGCCAAGGCAAATATTTCTGTGAGCCGTTGTTATTATTTAATATCATAAAATGGTATTCGACTTACGTTAGCGTATCCAAGCCACCCCGTCTCGGTTGGAAAGAAATCGGCCTTGTGAGCATACAAATGGCCCCAAATAGTTCCACCGTGGCCGCTGCCTATCTTCAGCAGTCCCCGGCTGGTGTGCAGGTACAAGTACTTTCCATCACTCGCGAAACTTTTTCCATTCAGCACAACACTGTTCATTTCATTTGGTAACTTAAGCGTAGAAGTGTAAATCTTAGAACTCTTAGGAACTCCGTGCGTGATCCAATCTGGCCGAGCCAGTTTCCCTAGCAGTACCGCATGGACGCTTCTTTGCAGAGACATCAACACGCATGGCATCTGTTACATCAAAAACACTTTCGTTGTACTTACTGCTAACTCACTCGATATGTTAATAAATTGAGCCACGAATAATATACCTGAATATTTTGAGCTGCTAAAGCTCTCGGGCACATCAATAATGCAGCAGTTGCTGCCAAAAGTCGCCCGGTATCACCCCTGACTATAACCAGACTCAATAGGCACGCACAGGCAATGGCTGTCAAGTGACTGCCGTCATTAACGGCTGTGGATTCTGGTCCATGGGACGTGGCCAGGTCCAGCAGAAGATCAAATAAAGGATCTAAAAATTACCAATCGTTATAATCTCTGAACAATTTCAAATAAATGACGTAAATTCCATATGCTTACCGACAACATCATCAGGTTCTGACTTAAGGCCTTCGGGTAATTGTCCTTGTAAAACATCCAATAGTGCGCTTAATGCTTTAGTACATAAAATTGGTTGAAGCGCACGACTCTCCCGCATTAATGTGAAGACACTCCTCAACCCAATGCCAACGATCTAGGAAATGATAAAAAGTAATCACCTTCTTTCTATCCCTCCTAAGCCCATATCCGCTTACCTTTGGTAAGCTCTGCACCGTCGAAACTCTATCTTCATCTTCGCTATCGGTGTCCACGCTATTACTGAGATCAGTCGGCGGTGGTGAACTGCAACTCGACGCTCTAAGAACCTCTCCAGTAGTGCGCAGATGTTTCTCCAAAACAGCACTTCTAATACTAGCGAATACTGCAAATGCTGAAGCATTACTGGCCACTTCTACGTCTGCTGGCTCAGTGTAATTTGAATCCCAGTTTAAATCGACCTGAAGAAAAATTTCCACGTTGTAACGGTAATACCGACTGATGTCTTATGAATCTACGTTCGCATACCTTTTTTTTGTCTTTTTTCCTAATCCCCTTCTCCTTTTTACACTTCTTCCATTTACCCTTTGCTCTGTAAACATTATCACATTAAGACGGACCATTCACAAGCTCAGGGATTCATTTCTTTAGCAATTACCCGATCTCCCCCATCGACTACATGTCGACTCATGAATGAAATAATTAAATAACCGACAAATCAAGCATTGCCATAAAGTGTTCGATAAGCTTCGAGTACAATCGCGAGGAAACATCATAAACAACGCAAAAAGTGATATAATCCGCTCCGCAAGAAAACGAAAGCCCGCCGTTAGAAAAGACGTAAGACGGACGTTGCCGAAACTTTAAGGGACGCGAAATTCTAAATTAAATGAAATCTCGAAATAATGTCAATTAATCTGGTTTATTCTGGCGTAAGACTTGACAGATGAAGTTACGGTAGGTAAAGAGCGGACGGTAAACAAAGCTCCAAGGTGAGGTTATACCGCTCTTCTCACCTCTGGGCTTCGGCGACGCTCTTAAAGAGATCATAGAAGCACTTTGCGTAGTCGTCCGGCTCGGGTAGCGTCCTTTCCTGGTCGCCGGACACCATGGCCGAGTCCTTCCCAAAAACGAGTCCGATCACCAGCTCATTTTCCTAATATTATTGATCGTAGACGCGCTCCGGTCTGCCGTACCTCGTGCGATCAACTATCAGAAATCTACACACTGACGCAAAGGCGGCGCTCTTCTGCTGGGGTGTCGAGAATAATCCATGTATATGTAATGTCATAGAGTAGCAAGGAGGATCCATATTTCGTGAGTACCGCGACACTTGTCACCTGGCGGCGGCGTGGTGAAACTGTTCCACTATTAGGCTATTAGCATGAATACCAGAGATGAGTTGGGAGATTGCTCACGTGCAGGGTCGCACGATCGCACCGTGTGCTGCCCTCTGATTTCGTACGTTAGCTTTCACCGTTTTTTGCCCCCAAGGGCGGCGCAACGAATTTCTGGTAGGGGCTCGCGCAAACGCGATGGCTGTGCCATCTACCAGTTGCCGTT